CATCAGTACTCATGAGGTAATATTTTTTCCTGCTTGACAGCGCACAAGCTCTACCCTCCCTCCTCTTTTGTGATGCTCCTTTCTCTCCTCTTCTTTTTCGTCGGTATGTTGGGGCACGAGCTCCTTTGCTGCTCCCACCTTCCTCGCTTCTTTTTCACACAAGTTTGTCAGAACTCCTTCAATTACGACTCATTATCAACGTTGAATCCTTTTTCTTTGCTCGACACCGTCACTGTTGCTGCTCTTACGCTCATTTGGTTACAGAGAAACCTTAGCTTGTGCTCGTCTCTCTCACTTTCCAATCTTCTGGTTAGTAAATCTTGCCTCTGGTGTGTTGTTTTATAGGCGAACTCATTGCGTAGGCTTTGGATCCCCTTGCAACTTCTTTCTTTTCCCTTCATATTCCTCCTCTCTGGCTTCCCGACTACTCGATTGATCTTCCCCCTTTCCTTTGGTTTCTTCCGTTTCAGAAACGGATCGTCACATGAAACGGGTCATCATAAAGGGGGTTGACGACAATTGTAGGGTGGAAAAGAGGTGGCGACAACAACAAGAGGTAGCATGGGAAGGGTCATGACTGTAGAGGGATGGCCGGAGGGGCTTTTAGCACTTCTAGGAAAGAGATAGGGATGGTGGATGTGCAGGTTGGACGGCTGTGCAGATGAGATAGGGATGGTGGATGTGCAGGTTGGACGGCTGGATAAGGTGGACAAGAGGTTGGCTGCAGGAAAGGGGGTGTCAAGGGGGGAACAATGAGGTGGTGGTGGTGGCTGGTGGCTAAGGAAGGTAAGGAAGAGAGTAGGAAGGAAATCAGAGAGGATACAACACCACTTCAGAGCAGGATACAAACGAAACACCACGTGTCGTCGGATACAACTCTAGTAAGTGGAAGAAGACTTTGCATATAATATGAAAGAGAAAACACAGAACATAAAACTAATTCGAGCAGACACACATAAATAGATAGGAATAGGAGGGGATTGAAAAAGGAAAGGGGGGTAGAGTTGGCGGGAAGGCCTGCCTGTCCAGGCTGAACTGGAACCTCTCCAAGACGGTTTAGCTGGCCTCCCCTACAGCCCGACATCATTCTAGTTATCTAGATTGTGGACCCGTATGCCGGTCACAATATTATATATATATATATATACATTTTTTTTTTTCAAAGCCCAATGGCTAATATATTAAAATAGAAAAGATACAGATAGGTTGTATAAGTGAGCCCAAAAAAGACACCCTACTCACACGGTGCAACACACACAAAAATCCCAAAAAAAGAAAAGATACATACATACATGTATATATATATATATATATTACTGATGGTATAATGCTTGTTGTAAGGTATAATGCTTAGGGTGCAATGAGAAATAAAAATATTTTTTCAATTTTTTTCAGATGCAATTAGTTTTAAAACTATAGATGGGAAGAAGCTGGATACATTTTACAATATCACTGATTGACCATTATATTGCTTGTTTCCTGTTAGTGATTGATGATCAATCTTTTGATCTTGGAAGAGAAGCTGGAGATTGTGGTGCAGAAAGACATTCAAAGTATAAAGCTGATGAAGATTATATTGTTGATACAGTGGGAGTTATTTGCGTTGATGCTTTTGGGAATGTAGCATCAGGCGCATCAAGTGGGGGAATTGCTTTGAAGGTGATGATTTGTTGCCTCTATTTTGTTATTTTATTTATTTTTTTTCAGCAGTTATTTATTTAGGAATTTTATTGTTATCTTTTGTTTTGCAGATATAGTGATTTGGATTAGTGATGCAGTGCATCTTAGGCTGTAGTGTTCCGTAATACAAACCTAGAATGAAATGCCAAAGAAACACCGAAGCTCTCAATTTAACTTTAAGTAAACAGTTTTTTGTTTTGAAGCCAAATTAGAATTCACTGATAATTGTTTCAAACTATAATATTAAAATCCTTAAATCTGAAAATTTCTCAAAAAAATTGAGAACAAACATAAAATAAATAACAATTTTTATTAGGTTGTCAAGTTGTAATGCAAACATATCAAATCAAAAAATAATTTATAAAAATGATCGAGGAAATAAATAACCAAATTTATCAGGCCTAAGGCTGCTACAAGCAGAACCATCTCTCAAAAGCTTACACATTTATACTTGAAGTATAATTCAAGAATCCACACAACAACTCACAGAATAATTTAGAGTAAAATTAAATTTTGCTGTGCCACTTAATGAATTTTATATTCTCAAATGATCCTATTTATAACTCAAAAGGGAGCAAAATCAATAAATATTCTTTTATAATTCTTAATGACCTGTCCTAAAATTACAAGTATCAATTTAATAACTTTTTATTGCAGCTAAAACAACATTTTTATAACCTTAGTTTTAGCAAAACAGTTAAGTTCTCAACTTTGAAATCCCATTTCTAGTTATGTGAATCAATTTCAAAACCTTGGTTAGTGCAATAGCAAAAAATAGAAGGAAACCAAGTAGTTGAGTACCAATTAAAGTAACACAACCAATTGAATAAGGAAATAGGGTAGCCAAGTAAAACTATTCTAATCAAATTGGAATGTAATCAGGGCTTCAGTTGGAAACCCATATAGAAAGAACAACCAGCTGATTAATTTTGTTAGTAAAAATTTGCAAAAAGCACCATCAATCACAATTTTACTACAGAACTAAGCAAATGTAATAAATATATATGATTTGAATTTTTAGTCTTGGTTTTACCTTTTGGCTAGGCGGGTGTAGCAGGCCAATTGTTGTCAACAATGATGTAATGATAAGACTGCCAGACTGTCTATCGTTGCTTCAAATAAAAACCATCTGCTTCAAATCAAAAACTTTCATGGGGTTTGTATTAATAATTAAAAAAAATCTCTTAAACAAAAACTTTCATGGGGTTTGTATTAATAATTAAAAAAATCTCTTCAGTGGGAATATCATAACCTTTAATGAACTATATGGGGCAATGTGAATAATCACATACAAAATATAAAGAAAATATACTGCTGTATGATGTCTATTTGCTATTATTTTACTAATCATGTTTGTTGAAGTTGATTTAAGACTGTAATCTCTAGTTCACAAGTTGTGTTTGCTTGCTAAGCCATGCGGACCATTCATGCAAATTACTAAAAAGTATTGGGTTGATAATGTGGAGGGAATTTTACAAAATCACGTCCATTGTTATTTATTAATGTTAACTGAAAAAAACAAGAAATCCATTCACATAAGAATTTAGAAATAATCTAAATCATAGAAATTCAGCTAGAAAAATAGAACTCTGAAATGACAACTTGATTAAAGTTTCCATAATTACAACAAAATTAGTTGTAGCGGTTGTTTTGACTAATTTCGATCATACTGCCAAAATTTCTAATAAATTATGAAGAAGAAAAAGAACAGGGTAATCAATTACTAAAAGAACCAATCCTTCTATTTTATTTGATAACTTCCTCCAAAAAATTGTAATCTCACTTTCACGACCCATGAAGAGTTTAGCATCCATAGCACAAAATTTGAGAGGAAACCTTTTTTTCAAGCGACAAAGATTCTTTTACCTTTGCAAAGTATTGTCTTTTTAAACATGTATTCCCTAAAGCCACTTGTCTGAGAAGTCATTTTGGTTCAAATTTGCAAGGACACACATAGCTTAGCATGGCATGATGATGTTGAATAAAAAACCATCAAGTCGGATCTAGAAAATCAAAACCACGAAATCACAGCTTGATTAAGGTCATTGCAAGTGGAAAATTTATAGTGGTTGTTTTGGACTAAAATCAATCACAATAGCGAAACTATTAACATATTATGAAGAAGAAAGAGAACACAGTTAGAGATCACTAAAGAAATTTAGGTCTTACATCAATATAATTTGATAACTTATTTGATAATTTACAACCTCACTTGTATGACCTTGAAGAACGAAGCATCCAAGGCACAAAATATTGAAGGGTGGCCTGAAAAATTTATTCAGCTATAATTTTTCTCTTACAATCCTCATGTATTATATTTATAAACATGTTATCTTTAAAGTTGCTTGCCGTAGAAGTCGGTTTGGTTGAAATCCTCAAGTATATGTGGGGCTATAAGTGAACCAATGCACTCGGTGAATTACTCAAACTTAGCTTGATTAATACTTTATCAAATTTGTTCAATTTAATAAATGAACAAGCGTGAACGTTTTTTAAAAATTTGAATATTAAATGAACCAAACATACACACTGTCCAAATGGTTTATTTATGTTCACAAACAAACTTGTTTATTTTTTAACAGGTGGCTTGTTAAATGCTATATAGTTAGCTCAAATATAGCTCATTTAATATATGATATATTATTTAAATTAAATTTAATTGTATATTAGGTAATGACAATATATATGCATTTTAATTTAGTACAATCTCTTCTTATTTCTTTATATTATTTGTTTACAAGAAAGCTTACCAACAACTTATATATTATCTTATATAATTGGTATAAATTAGTTTAAAACTTTTTAAAATTTATTATATTACTCATTTAGTTTTATCCAATCAATTTTTAATAAATTTATATGAAAAACTAAGTTCTTATTCAATAACTTGTTTGTTAACTCTTTGAAGCACTTGCTCAATTAGAATTAGCAAACCACTTATAAGTCAAGTTGCTTCGATTATTCTCATCTAATTCTTCAGTGTATGTTTGATGTGCATCGTAAACCTTAGACCCCAACATGCACTACATTATTGGGATTTCTCTTTTTATGCAGTCTTCAATATGTGTCTCCTCTAGCTGACTTTGGTGAAATTTCTGAACTTTTAGTTTGTACATTTTATGAGGTTTTCACCATTATTATGGTTTGTTCTTTAATATTAGGACCCACACTTCCCTGTCCTAAACCTAATATTGTTGTGGCGAATTCATACAACTGAAAACCTTTTAAGGATATACATATTATAGATCATAACTTCATCATCTAAGGGATTCACACTACAACAAGCTGATCATAACTTCATCATCTAAGGGATTCACACTACAGGGAAACTAATTATTTCCGGCAAAATACTAAGGGATTCACACTACAACAAGCTTTCATAGAAAATTATGACATTTCCGCCGGAATTTTGAGTTGCTGCTTATTAACAACAACAAGCTTTCATCCCACTAAGTGAGGTCGGCTACATGAATCCTTTTTGTACATTATCCTATTGAGTGTCATATTTTCATATATTTTCAATAAATTAAGATAATTTTTGTACAACAAGCCCCAGTTTTTTTACTTCTACTTTTCTTAGCCCAAGTCAATTAAGATAATTTTTGTACAACAAGCCCCAGTTTTTTTTTTAGGTCTACTTCTACTTTTCTTAGCCCAAGTCAAATCTTAAACATCTACTCTCTCAATAGAGTCATCAAATGGTTGACACTTATTGTGACCAAACCTTCTAAGGCGATTCTCTCTCATCTTGTGTGTCATTGTGGCTACTCCAACCCTTTCACGGATATATTTGTTTCGCATTTTGTGTCTTAAGTGTAAAACTACCCATTCACCTGAGCAATCATCTCAACAACACTTAACTTAATTTTATGCTTCTCTTCTACAGACTAACATTTTACGACATAAAGCATTGCAATTCTCACGACCATTTTATAAAATTTTCCTTTTAGTCTAAGCGGTAGTTTTCCATGGCACAATAGGTCCGATGCATTCCTCCGCTTCAACTATCCAACTTTAATTCTACCGATAACATCTCCAACAATATCACCATCACTTTGAACAATAAACTTGAGATATCTGAAATGTTCACTCATTTTAATTACTTGATCTCCGATTATTACAACCCTGACTCTAGATCTACTACTCAAATTGTATACTATATATTTAATTCTAGATCTACTAAAATGGAAGCCTAAAAGACTCAAAAGTGGATCTCCATAATTCAACTTTTTTTTGAACTCTCTCTAGTCTTATCCACGAGAAAAATATCATTTGCGAAAAACATACACCAAGGTACATCCTCCTGTAACTTTTCAGTATAAACATCTGTAACTAAAGCAAAAATATATTATCTTAAAGCCGATCCCTGATGCAAACCAATTGAAATAAGAAAATACTTCGTCAACCCTTCCTGTGTGTATATATATATATATATTTAATGACTTGGATATAAGCAATATCAACACATTTCTTTTTTAAAACTCTCCAAAATACCTATCTTGAAACCGTATCATAAGCTTTTTCTAAATCAACAAAATCATATGGAAATTCTCCTTATTCTCTCTATTACTTATCCAAAAAAACTCTCAATAAATGTTTGGTTCCATAATAAACTTGCCCGATATAAATCCAAATTGATTTTGAGAAATTTGTATCACGTTGTAACCTATATTCAATTACTCTCTTATAACTTTAATGTATGTCACATTAACTTAATTCCTTGATTATTTTGCATGCATACTTTTGTGCATTCCTTTTATTCTTAAAAATAAGAATCAATATATTCTTTCTTTACTCAACATGAATCTTTTTAGCTTTTAAAATAATATTAAAAGGTTAAGTAATTGTTTTTTCAGATGTCCTAAGTATTTTTACTTTTATTGGAATACCATTAGCTTTGACAATTTTTTCACACTTTATTTCATTATAGCTTCCTCAATTTATATTTTACTAATTTGACGGTGAAAATAAAGCTTTATTATTATTTATGGTTTTAAGATCGCTAAAATCGATCGTACTTTCACAATATTTATTAAAAATTTATTAAAATATCTCACTAACATATGTTGAATATTCTCATATAAGAAAAAAAACTTTTTTATTTTCATTCTTAGTACACTTCATTTGAATTAAGTCTTTACTTTTTTTATTTCTTTGTTTCACTAGTTTATACATATATTTTTTACCCTTCTTTATCTAATATATTATAAAAATCTTTAAAAACAGAATTCTTACTATGCAAATTGTTCTCTTGGATCCTCTACGGACTACCTTATGTTTTTTTCAATTCTTTTAGCTTTTACTTTTAAATTAGTCTTTATAACAAACCTTCTTATCTTTTATCTTTTTTTATATATTTTTACTCATAACTTTTTTCTAAATTAAAAAAAAAATTATATGTAAATTCCCGTTATTCTCTCTATATTTATTCGACAAAACTCTCAAATGTATAGCTTTTATAATAAACTTGCTTGGCATGAATCCAAATTGATTTTGAGAAATTTTTGTATCACGTCGTAACCTATATTCAATTTTACTCTCTCCTTTCACTTTAATTTGCAATACATTAACTTAATTCCTTTATAATTTGCATGCATATTATTGTGCATCCCCTTTATTTTTAAAAATCAGAATCAATATATTCTTTGTCCATTCATCATGAATCTTTTTAGTTTTTAAAATAATATTAAAAATTCTAGTATGCAAAATTTTTTTCAGTTCTCCTAAGCATTTTCACTTCGATTGGCATACCATTAGGTTCTACTGTTTTTTCACATTTTATTTTCTTTAGAGCTTCCTTAATTTTTGTTTTACTAATTTGATGGAGGAAATGAGAAGTTTCTTATTATTTATGATTTTAATACACTAAAATCTATCGTATTTTCACAATATTTATTAAAAAATTGTCAAAATATCTCTCACATATGTTGAATATCCTCATCTAAATTTTTTTTTTAATTTTCATTTTTGATACACTTTATGTGAACCACGTTTACTTTTTTTTTTTTTCTCTTTGATTGACTAGTTTATACATATATCTTTCACTTTTATGTACTAATATATTATAAAAATCATTAAGAGCAGAACTCTAAGTTTCACAAGTTGTTCTCTTGGACTCCTACGAATTATCTTATATTTTTTCTAATTCTTTAAATTTTTACATCTAAACCAGTCTTTATAACAAAGTTTTTTATTTTTTATCTTTTGTTGCACATTATTATTATATTAAAACTTATTTTATTCATAAGATTTTTTTCCTTTCGATTTGTCAAACACATCTTTTGCAGCTTGTTTACTAGTTTTTATTACTTTATCCCACTAGTATTAGCTTTTTCTCGAACATCCCAAATCTTAAGATGTTGAAGTTTACTTATAAAAATATTCTTATCTGTTTTTTAAGTTCCCCAATCTTATTCTATGATAATATTTTATTGTATTTTTCATTATTCAACCCTTCATCTTAAAATCCAAAGTCAATAATTGAAGTTGGGTACTTAAATTTCATTTGGAATGTCCTTATAATCTATACAAATTCCACAATCTATTTTTTCATAAGGAAATAATCAATTTAGATTTTATTAGGTTCATTCTTATAAATAATAATACACTAATTTCTTTTCTTAAATAAAGTATTAGAAATAATAAAATCATAAAATACAATAAAATCAAATATGGCTGTCTTATTTATTAGTCACTCTAAAATTATAACTGTTATAAATATTTCTAAGATCTTTTATCACTCTATCATATGTCTATTTAAATTACCTCTCATAAAAATTAATTTTCAAGAGGTGTCTTTTGTATTAATTCTTCTATGTCTATAAATCTTATTTTTGACCATATATCAAATCCTATTTGGAGGGCATAAGCATTAATAAAATTAATAGTATTAGTATCCACAATAATTTTTAAAACTATACTTATATCTCCATTTTGATTAATTTTTATAATATTATATTTCATACTCTTATCTATAATTTCCATCTACACCATTTCTAGTACTTCTGCTTAAAGATCAAAGTTTAAAACCTAAGCTATTATTCCCCTAGCCTGTTCATCAACTCATTTAGTTTCTTGAATGGATAAGATATTTATCTTCCTATGAATCATAATATCTATTAATTTCATTAATTTACCCGTGCGAGTACCTATATTCCAAGTTTCTATCATTATATTAATTTCATAGATCTAGTTCTTTGCTTGCATCCGTCCATCATATGGGAACCCTTGCTTATTTTACATTACATTTGAGCATCGGTGGAACAGCTCTTGTTTTCTTTTTACTGTATTAAGTACAAACATGTTATCTCCAGGGAACACTCTAACATTGACACAATAATTTAAATGATTTATGTCGTAGTTTTTCGACAAAATTTTCGTTGGCTGCCGACTACGTAATCTTTTCAACTTTTTGCATTTGGGGCTTAGGACCTGACAATGATAGTGTTTACTAGTGGATTAACAATGACAAGGGACTCCCTAGCATTGACACAATGATTTATGTCGGTTTTTCCACAAAATTTTATGTTGATTACCTGACTCAACCCTTCACTTTTCGTATCCGGGGCTCAGAACCGGACAATGACGGTGTTTACCGGTAGATTAACAATGGATTTTAATCCACCACATCCAGTATGCTTGGTCGGTAATACATTCTGATGACTGAAATAACTGTTGTAAAGAAGTGTGACATTGTAAATATACATTTATATTACAATTTTTTGATGCGCTTGTGAAGTTTTTTGGTCTTAGTTATTTCTGACTTAGTTTTATATGCTCAGTTTGAACTGCTTGCCAGCTTTTGTTCATTCGCATGTTTTCTTATTGTGTTGCTGAGGTTTAGTGAGAAATAAATTGATAAATTTGCTCAGATTGGTATGCATATTTGTTTGCAGTTTATTTATCATGTATTTTTTATAATATTTCATTTTTGATTGAAAAGCCTGGCGTTTACCCTTCAGATAAAATTAAAAGACAACATATGCAACATTAAGAAAATCAAAAGCGAAGAGAAAGATAATTTGATCTCTCATAATTGCTAGAAAATTAATCCTGTCGCTTACAGGTTGATGGGCGCATTGGTTTGGCAGCCATGTATGGTTCAGGTTGTTGGGCATCATCAAAAGATCCATTTGGAACACCATTCAATGTTGGTTGTTGTGCTACTGGTGCTGGGGAGTATCTTATGAGAGGTTTTGCTGCTCGTGAATGCTGCTTATCAACATCATTGTATGAGCTATTTCACATCCAAATTCTCATGAATTCTTGATGAATATAAAATCTAAATCCTCTTATTGAACTTGAATTTTTGATGGATGATACAGGATTCTAGGCATTTCTTATCATTATTTTTTTCATATTCAAACTGAACTGAAGTTTGACTTGATGAGGTTTTGTAAATAATTGATTTTTTTCCTAAATATATGTGCTATGGGTGTGCTGTAGTTAGAAATAACTAATATTCAAACCAGATTGTAGTTGTTAGGCCAATTTGCTTTGCTTTATATGTAGTTTCAATTTTTGGTTCCCAAAATTTCTATTTTAATTTATGAGATATGGTTGGAACTGTGCCAAGGATGAAATAATTTAAAAATTCTCTTAAAATCTTGAGTTCCGTTTAATGGTAAAATATGAATTGATTTGCCCATCAAATTCAACATCCAAATTCCAATCTATGCAGATTATTTATACTTATAGTTGAGAGTTGTCTTTAAACATAAGATCTCGAGTTCAAGGACTAGCACATATGGGTGCAAGCATGTGTTAAAAAAAAATCAAAATCCAATCAAAATTTGAAATTTTGAATTTTGACTCTAGTATTTATTTTGGACCGGGCTAAATTAGAAAATATAGTCTTATTGTCAAACTCTAAACTATAATTTAGGTTATGGACTAAATTTTTTACTATAAACTAGTATGGTTGTGATTATATTAGATTGGAAGTGATGCGTGCTAAAAAAGTCATGACAATAGAATAATGGATTTTGTCTTCCAGTATAGGAAGATGAAGAAGCATGCTGCCCTTGGCCTCATGATTGCTCCCTCATGATTGCTCCCTGGAATGATGGGTGTCGGAGTGGGATGCTTCATTGTCACGAGTATTGTGTCCGCTAAATACTTTAGTGGTGGGATTGAAAGTTATCCACAGACGGCGTCAAATTGATGCGTGAGAAAATTCGCGGCGATAGAGTGATGGATTATCGTCTTAGCGTTGCACAATAATTCAACGCACACTTAGGTGAAAGAAAACAATCAGTAATGACACTAGAAGTTTTGCGAAAAAACTGTGAAGGATAAAAATCACGATGTCTGACCTAGTTGTAAGAATCAAACTTGGTTTTTCAAGTTACGACGTCGACTAACAATTTTCGGTTAGTGATAGTTGACGGTGATTGACGGTGATCGATGACGGCCAACGACGATCAAACACGATCAGTGGTGGTTGACGACGACAATAGTGTTCAACGGCGGTCGACTGTGGTTCGATGAAATCGAGCCTATCAATTTGATTATAAGTTTGATGAAATCGGAGCTCTGGATGACTCTTACTTGAAGTTTGAATATTTTTTGTTTAAAAGATTATCTCGAGATTTGTGTTGGATAATGAAAATTTGTCGGTGACATATCAGTTGCCCCCTTTTTTCGGGCAAGTCCAATTTTGTCGTCCGAAAATATCCACATCTATAGTTTCTTCGTTTTTGTCGGGCATGCGTATAAAATACACACACACATAAATATATATATATATATATATATATAGAAAAAACCCAAGGGCTAATATATTAAAGCGGAAAAGGCAGGTCATGTCTGGTGACGCACACACACACACACAAATATATATATATATATATATATATATATATCTACTTAGATCAGTTAGTCGGACATCTGTTTGTTAGTTATAGGTCCCCTCTGGTTTGGAGTTCGATTTCCCCCGAGTTTAGGGTGTGGTGCTCGAATTATAGGTGTGAGGGATGACCCGCTCCGACCATTCCTTTTGAATATATATATATATATG